GGGAGTCAATCAGACTGGTTTCTGTGCCGGGGACCTGTTCAAAGTGAAACAACAGATGCTGCAAAGGCAAACCTGCAGTGAAACCGAGACTTGCAGGCAAAAGTGTCTCCCCTGCTTTCATGGAATGTTTCCCATAAATATCAGGGCCAATGTTCCAGCTGCAGCTTAGGTGTTTGGAAGAGGAGTTCTGCCTGTGGTATGTGTTAAAGAAATAGCGTGCCTCCTCTTTATTTGGAATCTTAATCTTGCTGTGGGCTCTTACCTGAAAACAAGGGAACAGTTTTGCCAATCGAAGGGAAAGTACGTCACAGTAATTGGACAGGCACTTCGATAGATAGCAGGTGGCAGCCAATAAATACTGCCATCACTGGAGACCAGAACATTAGCATAGTAAGCAATTTCAAACCCACCGTCAATGCTGCAGAGAGGGAGAAAGAAACATCAACAGTCAGAATGTATACAAAATCTAATCATTCTGATAGAATCACACTGCGGCAAATGAATTACATGTCGGAATTGACTGCCGATTGGAAGCACATACTTGTTCTCAAGGACGATCTCAGGAAGCCAGATCTGCTGGGAAGGGATTCTTACCAGATCAATGCCTGCGTAATTAGAACTGTTCCAAGATAATCGATAATCTTTCCATTGCTATTTAAAAACAAAATGGGAAATGCAAAACCATGTTTATCCATACCTCCTACTTCACTGTTTTAAAACAATCTGTGCGCATTATAAACTGGAACTTGACGCTTCGTGTTAATGAGTGTAACTGAAACGCCCAACATGAATAATGGTCTCACTTCTGATTCTCACCTGAATGTTGCTCCAAGATTAATAAATGTGAACAATCAATATTTTCTACACTGTTACTGCCACAGGACTAGTCAAAGTAATACTTACAATTTCAATCCATACATTTGTGGTAAGTGTTTCCTCCTTTTCTTTCTGTTTAGGAATTTAAAAACAGATAGATGTCACTGCACGTGTATTGCTATTTGGCGGAAGATCTAACGTCAGGAACTTTGCAAAGTTGGAAACTGAGTACACGGAATCATAGAATCCCTACAGCGCATGAGTAGGCCATTCAGCCCATCAAGTCCACACTGACCTTTCAAACAGCATCCCACCCATATCCACCCTCCCCTACCCTAGCCCTGTAACCCTCCATTTTCCATGGCTAACCCACATAACCTGCACACAATGGGCAATTTAGCACAGCCAGTCCACCATAACTGCACACCTTCGTGGCTGTGGGAGAAAACCGGAGCACGTGGAGGAAACACACGCTGAGACAGGGAGAATGTGCAAACTCCACACAGACAGTCACCGGAGGGTGGAATTAAAACTGGGTCCCGGCACTGTCAGGCAGCAGTGGTAACAGGGTCTGATATTTTCCTAGTAATGTCAAGGACATTGCGTGTCATCTCTCTGCATCAGGGATTCCAACACTTCGTATCACTCAAATCCTATTTAATGAGTTAACGTTTCAGGTCCGGTGACCCTTCCTCAGAACTGAAACATTACCCGAAACGTTAACTCTGTTTTCTCCTTCACAGATGCTGCTAGACCTGCTGAGCTTTTACAGCATCCGCAGTTCTTTTGGTTCCTATTTAATGAGGGATGGGGTAAAATATGTTAAGTGAGTTGTGTTTGAGCCAATCACATTGGAGGGGTTAAGTGAGTTTATTAGTTGACTGCAGACAAACTTGAACTAAAGAGACCCTACATTGGTCGAACAAAGAGCGGAGATTCTTAGGTTCATCCTAAGGCACTGACAATGTTGACACTTTAAGAATTTCCTTACCAATGAGATGAGATTGGTTAATGTAAGTTTCAGAGTCACATCGATGATATCACCATAAAACTTGGCAGGACGTATTCTCTTATCATAATTGCCCAACAATGTATTCAGCAGTTTTTCCTCTTCATTCGATCTAGCTGTAGGTTAATTACAGATTAGTTTATCTCAGCTTTCCAGCATTTGCAGTATTTCACTTGTATATTACAGATTAATGGATGACAAAACTATGGTCCAACACAACACCAGAAGTTACTTGTGCGAACTCAGTGCCATTTGCTAATTCCAATTATTTAGCAATCTGATTTAAATCTAGTAAAGTCCCAATGACTGAGCTTGTTCTCACAGGTTGGAAAACAAAGATCAAGACTGTTTCTGAGTTTTAAAGTCACTGCCCCAGGCAATCTTTTGGAATTCTTATCACGGCGCCAGCTTTATGTTGGCATTGAGACAGGTTTAAGGATGCCAGCTGGGTAATCAATGCTGGAGGGCCAACTCGATTCAAGGGGAATTGATTTGCTGCCCTTAACTGGACAGAAATCTGTCTCCTTGGATGGTAAGCCATAGTGGTCTTGTCTCTACATTTGGGTCAGAAGGTTCAGGTTCAAGACTCATCTGCCTCAGAGATGTGTCATTGCTGTCCAAGCAGATTGATTAAAAATAATAGGGTGGTAAACATTGAGACGGCCCTTCATTCTGCAGAGAGAGAGAGAGAGATCAACATTACTATTTGGGAGGTGCAGGTTTTGGGATTAGAGGTAATCATTTTTCACCGAGAGTGGTGGGTGTCTGGAATGCACTGCCAGGGAGGGTAGTTGGGGCCGGAAACCTCAGAACCTTTACTTCCATAGCACAGAATCCCTACAGTGTGGAAACAGGCCATTCCACCCAGCAAGTCCACACCAATCCTCCAAACAGCATTCCACCCAGAAACATCCCCCTACCCTTTCCCTGTAACACTACATTTCCCATAGCTAATGCACTTAACCTACACATCCATGAACACAATGGGACAATTTAGCACAGCCAATCCACCCTAAACTGCACATCCCTAGGCACTACGGGACAATTTAGCACGGCCAATCCACCCTAACCTGCACATCCCTGGACTGTGGGAGGAAACTGGAGCACCCGGAGGAAACCCACACAGTCACGGGGAGAATGTGCAAACTCCACACAGACAGTCGCCGGAGGGTGGGATTGAACCCGGGTCCCTGGCGCTGTGAGGCAGCAGTGCTAACCACTGAGCCACCATGCCACCTTAATTTGGACAATCATTTGAAGTGTCATCACATTCAAGGCTATGGGTCAAATGCTGGAAAATGGGACTAATGTAGATTTAGAATAGTTTTTTGACAGTGGAACAGGAGGGACAACCTCTACACACTTTGATCAACACTCAAAGTGTTAGCACAGTGGGAGAGTAAACCTAGAAATTATTTTCAAGTGTTTGGGATGCCATGTGCGGCATGGTGTAACAGCGGTTAGCAGTGCCAGGGACCCACGTTCGATTCCACCCTCGGCCGACATTCTGTGTGGAGGTTGCACATTCTCCCCGTGTCTGCGTGGGTTTCCTCTGGGTGCTCCGGTTTCCTCCCACAGTCCAAAGATGTGCAGTTTAGGGTGGATTGGCCGTGCTAACTTGTCCCATAGTGCCCGGGAATGTGCAGGTTAGGGTGGATTGGCCGTGCTAAATTGTCCCGTAGTGTCCATGGATGTGCAGGTTAGGGTGGGTTGGCCGTGCTAAATTGTCCCATAGTGTCCATGGATGTGCAGGTTAGGGTGGATTGGCCGTGCTAAATTGTCCTGTAGT